TTCCAGGATCTGGAGCCTTGCCAGAACCCACATCTGGGTGTAGATTGAGGCACTGACTGCTTTGCTTATGGGCCTTGCTGCCAGTGGCCCGCTGCAGTCCTATACCCCCACGCTCATCCCCACCAGTGGTATCTGTGGAGCTGGGCCCTGGGCTCCGGCACATGAAGCAGCCTTGTCCAGCATGGGCCTCCACATGCCCCCAGGCGCAGCGCCCTCCGCCCAGCTAAAACCCTGCCTCCCACATCCCATGGTCAAGTGCTGGTTGACAGACAGATGCTGGGGCACCACAGCTAGTGGCAGCACAGGGTTTGGGAACAAGGAAGGAAAAAAGCAAATGATAACTAAAGGACAAGTTGCCTCAGTGTGGAAACAGGTCTGAGCTTCGGACAGGGAGACCTACTCAGCTCAGCACGTTAAATCCTACCATCTCGGGACTAATACGATAGTCTAGTGGCTAAAGTCCTTGCCTTGCATCTACCAGGATCCCATATGTATCCTGGTTCATGTCCCAGCTGCTCCACTTCCATCCAACTCTCTGCTTGTGGCCTGGGAAAACAGTAAAGGCCCAAAGTTTTGGGACCCTGCACCTGTGTGGGAGACCTGGAAAAATTCCTGGCTCCTGGCTTCCAATAAGCTGAGCTCCAGGCCATTGCAGCCACTTGGGGAGTCAGAGGGTAGAAGATCTTTCTCTGTATATCTCCTTCTCTCTGTACATCTGCCTTTCCAGTAAAAATAAATAAATCTTAAAAAAAAAATCCTAGAATCTTGTGCTGATTCCCCTTCCCAGGGAGCCAGCGGGGCACGTGGCTTTTCCCTCTGCTGTGGCCGAGTGACTGATTTGTCCATTCCTCCAGCACCGTTAATCCCGCTTACGTGTGTCATGTGCTGTTCTTTGGGTGCAGGATAGTGCAGGGGAGAGCAGGGGAGAGACGCATGGGCCACGCAAGTGTAATCTGCTCTGTAAGCAGGGGATTCATTTCAAGGACACCTCTGTATCCTGTGCCACCCCAGTGGCTACCAAAATCAAGAGATATGCAGAACCTTTATATATATATATATTACAGTGTTTGTATATAAATTCCACCATCCCCTTGTATCCTTTTTTTTTCCACCTTTTTTTTTGTATGAATTTGAGAAGTGGAAAACAAAGGAACAGCATGGAAACCTAAGAGAGAAAAATCTCCCTATTTGTTAGTTTACTTCCCAAATGCCTGAGATGGCTGGACTGGGGCTGGGTTGGGCAGGAACAGGATGCTGGGAATTCAGTGTATGTTTGCAGTGTGGATGGCAGAGCTCAATTACTTGAGCCTTCCCTGTTGCCACCAAGGTTTGCTTTCGCAAGAAGTGGTGTCGGGAGCCAGAGCTGGGTGCTGAACCGAGGCATTCTGAACTGGGATGCAGGTGTCCAACCACTAGGCTGAACACCAGGCCCTAAGCTTTCAGTCACCTCTGGATGACCTGTAATACCCAGTGTCAACAGCATGCACTGTTTTGTGTTTTAGTGTTTAGGGAATAATGATGAAAGTCTTTGAATGTTAACTGTTGATTTCTGTTTTGCTTGTTTTCAATATTTTTAACTAGAGTTTATTTACTTGAAGGGTATAATTCAAGAATGGGAAGGGGGGAGAGGGAGGGAGAGAGAGGGAAAGAAAGAGAACTAGTTCCAGCTACTGGTTCACTCCCCACAATGACCACAATGGCCACAATGGCCAGGGCTGGGCTAAGATGAAACCAGAGGCTGGGAACTCTGTCCAGCTCTCCCACGTAGGTGACAATGGCCCAAATACTTAAGAAATCATCCACTGGTTTCCAAGGCATATTATCAGGGAACTGGATATTTACTTATCTGAAGAGAAAGAGAGAGAGACAGGCATACAGACAACTCCCAACTGCTGCTTTATTCCTGGAATGCCCACAGTAGCCAGCTTGGGCCAGTCTGAGGTCAGGATCAAGGAACTCTGTCTGGGTCTCCTGTGGGGTGGATGGTGTCCAGGCGCTTGGACCCCAGCACCTGCTGCCTCTCGGGGTACATTTTGTCAGGAATCTGGAGCAGAGCAGAGGTCAGCCTTAATCTCCAGCACTCCAGTATAAGATGGGGGTGTCCCGAGCGGTGTCTTCACCAACCCATTTTCTGCCTGAAGTGGTTGTGTCCCAGGTGTGGAATGTGAGGTACAGGGGGCCAATCTGCTGTGACTCTCAAAACAGATCACACTTGGGTCCAAAGATGGAGAAAGAATCCCAGGATACCTAACGGAATTGGGCCACAAGGAACCATACAGGGCCTTTTGGAGCCTGGTGTGGTGCACATCCACCTTACATACCTGGCTTGATATCAGACCAGAGGTTCGTCTTGTGTTTGGCAAGTGCTCACTGGTCCTGGCTTGTGCGGCATGTCTTGTGTCCTGGCAGTGGGCCCAGGCAGCAGGTCCACTTTACAGAGAGCATTGTGGGATTTGAGTAAGCCATTGGATGTCAAGATCACATTTGCCACTGTATTTCACAAATATACTGGGGATGGAAGGAGGGCCTTGTCATTTTCAGACCACCGACCCAGCAGCCTTGGTTAGAATGTACCCCTGTGCCAGCAGTGTTTCTGCATTCCTTGTGGGCCCCTCTGGAGAACTGCCTGGCCCCGTGAAAGGTTCAACACAGCTTTCTCTGGAGGGACACCCTGAAAGTCCACAGGATTCTGCACCCTGCCTCTATTTGCAAGTATTTATCACAGATAGTCACTTCCTATAGAGACCAAAAACCTTCCCTGTTTCCTAATTTAAATTTTTATTCTTTAATGGTTCTGAAATGTGGATGCATCTTAAAAACAGATGTATGCATTTTAAAAATCTTTATTTTTATTTGAAAAAGATACAGAAGGAGAGGAGGAGAGAGAATCTTTGATCCGTTAGCTCCCTTCTTAAATGGTCACAGCTGCCAGCGTTGGGCCGGTCAGGAGCCGGGGGCCTTTTTTCTGGGTCTTCCATGTGGATTCAGGGCCAAGGACTTGGCTCCTCTGCTGTCTTCCCAGGCACATTAGCAGGGGGCTGGATCAGAAGCGAAGTGGCCAGCACTCCGTCATTGCCCTCATGGGATACTGTCACCGCAGGCCGAAGCTTAGGCCTGGCACTGGCCCCAATATGCGCATTTTGATATGGTATTGTTTCTTTTTGTGAGTGAATTAGTGTTTCTTAAAATTCATGGCAGTTTCCCAATGACCACATTTGAGGAAAACACAGTAGAGGGTGCAGTTTTGAGAGACAAAAACAAAAACAAAACAGAAACAACTCAAAACGTGCACCTCATGGAAGAAAACGATCCCAGGAACCCTTGGAGGTGGAGAAGCTGACACTGCCGGAACCTGCCTGCTTCCCTGGGCGCTGGGTGTGGGATGCTCATGAAGAAAGGCCTGAAAAGGCTGGGTGGGTATTAGCATGTTTGTTCCCTGGGGGTGGCCCACTTGGAATCAGCAGTTCCTGAAGCCATCCAGCTTGCGGGTCAAGTAGATTTACATATCTAGTGTAAGGACCCTTCTTGTTCTGTGCTTCTCTCTGCTAATGCACGATTGTTCAGTTTGAGAAGCAAGCACTTTGCCTTTGCCAGCTGGGTCTGGGTTTCTCTGAGGCTGCCTCCGAGAGCCAGGGTGTGGGGGACCTGGAATGCTTCACAGCCCCACACTTCCGCCCACACACTGCTGTGACAGAGGCTATGGACATGCTGCTTCTGGGTGGGACTGAGTCAAGGCAGCTTTTCGTGTGAGGGAATTAAGTCCTTTCAGTAGTTTGTGAGTGTGATTGGATGCTCATCATATGCAGCACTAGATTCCAAACTCTCAACCTCACTGAGAGGGTAGCCAAGAAGTGCAAGTGCAGACTGCCTAAAGACGTACACAGAGTTATCTTGTACTGGGGCACTGCTCCCTTCATCCTCCGGCTCCCCCATTGCATAGCTGCCGTGGAGGTTGATCACACTCTGGCCCAGTGTGGGCTGCAAGGGGCAGAGCAGATTAAGCCCTGAGTAGCATCGTCAGAATAATCTGGAGAGAAGATGCAGGAAGTAGCATGTTCCTCTAGTCCCCTTGTCTTCCGCCCTTGCTAACACTTCCCCACCACAGAGCCTGGTATGCTGCTGCTTCCAGCACACAGGTCCCTGGGAGCAGCCATGGTGACTCTGGTGCTTTGGGTCCCAGGCACCTCCGCAGGGAACTCGGATTGATTTCCAGCTCCCAACCTTGAGCAGGCACCATGGCAGGCATCACCTGGGGAGTGAATCAGCAGATGGATGCTCCCTGTCTCTGCCTTCTCTGCCTCTCAAATATATAAATTTAAAAAAAAAAAATATGTATCAGGGCTGGCTTCGTCCTGGAGCATTTCCAGAAAATTTCTGCAGCTGAGTATGAAAAAGTGGCTTCTTGGTGAGAGAGCAGACGAGGGATGGGGCCGTTCCAGATCTTTCTGTCATGATGCTGTGTGTGACCTTGAGCACTGCTCTTCGGGGGGCGGGAGGGGACGGAGTGAGGAAGACATGTATGCAGCAAAGTGCCCCTGCAGGCCCCAGGGTCCAGGGCCAGGAGCCAGTGTCAGCTGCACCACAGGTGGTGCCCTCTCAGGTGGCATCTCACAGCTCCCTGACGTCTGCCCTCACCCCGCGGGGCTCCCTGAGACAGTGGTAATGAGCAACTTAATGTGCTGACTTACCCGGTCCTTCTTGGTCCATTGCAACAAAAGTTGCTCTTTTCTCATTAGAACCATTTTTGTCAGAGTGTCTTTAATCAATGACTTCCCCGGGGACAATATTTTTAGAAGTTGTATTTTTCACATTCTCCCTTTTCCCCTTTTGGAAATTCTCTGCCCTGTGCCTAGTGAAGTGAACTAATGAGACGTCGTGAGAGTTGGGCGGGTGTGAATCGGCACAGGTAGGCAGGAGGCCCCCCCCTGCCCCCACCGCCGCCCGTCCACCTTCGCTTCCTCCCCGTCACCTCCCGTGCTCTCCTTTGTCTCCCCATGCAGGTCGCACAGACAGCAGATGGTGTGGACGCTGACCTCTGGAAAGATGGCCTGTTTAAATCCAAGGTCACCAGGTACCTGTGCTTCACCAGATCGTTTTCCAAAGAAAATGTAAGTCTCGTTGTGGTTTCCATTTGCTGAGTGAGCACAAGTAATTTACATTCCTGTTTGGAATCTCCTCATTTGGGGGAGGGGTACTGAGGTTTATTTTCATTGCCATATTAATTTATTTGTGGTTTTAGCGAACAGGGTAAAATCAGCAGCCAGTGCTGTGTTTCATTGTATTGACAGTATTATTAACCGTGTACCCAAGTGTATAGTGAATTCCATTAAAATGTGTTCTCCAAAGGAAACCAGCAGATTTCTCTCGCAGCTTTCATTTTGCCTGCCTTTCCTTCCAGCAGCAAATCACGGGGCAGTCTAGATATAGGAACTGCCCGGCCGAGCTGGGTGTGTCGCATGCCAGGGGGGCGAGCTTGGCTCATAGCAGCACCCAGCTCTTCCTCCCCTGCCCTGCTGCTGGGCCACAGACGCAGCCTTGTTTCCAAGTCTCTGTGTGGCATCAGGCGTTGCTCTGTCTTATAGGATGGCATCCATGTACAGATTTCTCAGAGTGCTACTTATTAGTACAAGGACTATACGTTAAGAAGCTTTAAAGATAAAGCTTTTCTAATAAAGCATCTAGTGGGTGGCTTTGGAAAAAGGAGGTGGCTCTAGTGGGCTGTCTGCTGGACAGAGCCCACTCAGCCTGGCGTCCTGCGAAATCTCTCACTGCACCCTCGGTCTCCCAATTCATGGAGACTCCCATGGACTTTATTTTCACAAGTGAAATGTTATTTTTTGGCCTCAAAGTTACTGTCTCTTTCTAATACAAATGTTTATTTTTGAAAATATTTTATTGACTTATTTTTATCAATTGTACTGTAACAGCAATAGATGTCTATAGTGTAAAAAAAAATGAAAACAAGTTCATGTGTCCTCTCTCATAAGCATGGAAGGAAATTCTCCTGTCTGATGTTGCCTGGCGTTTTCCGGGCTGGGCTGTCCACTACCACCATTCCTGCTTGTTGGCAACCCTTGCCGGGAGAATTACTGCTAGCATGTTCAGGACATGGGGGGAAGTCAAGCCTTTCACCACCTCCCTGCCTCCTGCCCCACCTTCCACACGAGCTGCACATGCTCAACGTGACAAAGCTGGGGCAGCCGGGATGCTGAGTGCTGGGAACCTCTCAAAAACTTCTTAGGGCACATTGAATCCTAGGAAGTGGTGACAGAGCTGGGCTGGCTGCCGGCCCTGTGGGTCTGGCCTGTGCGCCGGCCCCCAGAGCTGGCAGGGTGGTGAGGGAACAGCAAAGGGTGGCTCTGAAGGCGGCCTCCCGAGCATAAGGCGTCCCTGGTTGTTCTTTTCCCTGCCTGTGCTCCTTCCTGCATTCATTCCCTCAGCCCCTTTACCCTAGGGCTCACTTGTTTTTCTGGAAGTTACGTGGCTTTCACTGCCTCCCTTTCAGTCGTGACTGCCCACTCTGCATGAGGTCGGCATGTTCCCGGTGTTCCCCGCTGCTCTAGGCTCTTAGGAGGGGCTCCTGGGGCTTTGGCAGCTGCTGTTCACACCCCTCCGTGCAGTGGCTCATGCAGGCCTTCCTGATCTCAGCTCACCGTCAGTCTCCCGAAGAGGCTTGGTTCAGAATGGCCTCCAGGCTGGCAGGCATCTCCCTGGTGGCAGGTGGCCTTTGTTTTTGTTGCATCTTCTCTGCAAAGGCTGTGGGAATATTGCAGTTCTCAGCTATGAGTCCTGCACCCCTTTGGAGACAGTGATGAGTCTGGAATGACAAAGTGATGCCACTGGGGCCTGTGCATTTGGGGGGTGTGGGTGGGCATTATAAATAAGCACTGATCGCGTCCTCACTGTTGAGCATAAGGCATGTGTTTATTGGGTATGATGAAGCTTGACAGAGAGGGTAAGGCCAAGGAGAGACCTCTGCCTCAAGTTGGAAACAACGTGAGAAGTAGCTTGTTTTTTTTAATAAAGAATTAATAAATGAGTTCTACTATGGGATCCAGACAGTAGAATCAAGAGATCAAATCTGATTTGGGACCACGCTGAGGGGTAGCAGCCCAGGTGCCTCCCAGGAGTGGTGTGGCAATGAGGTGTGTCTTGCTGTGTTGTAGCTGCTCTGCTCCAGCCCCACTGTCTGAGCCACGGCTTTACAGAGCATAATTCTTCCCAACTGTGCAGGAGGCAGTGGGATCTCCAGACAGGCAGCGTCTTAATGAGGTGACTTGAGACTCCCTGTGTAGGAGTTTTGGGAGACTCCTTTGGAGCCTAAATTCCTTTCCCCCAATAATGCTATTAATACAGAAACCTGGCTTTTGGAGTGACATTGCTTCCTGGGGAAGGATCAAGATTAATTGCACTTTTCATGCCCTGTACTTTCTGCATTACCTGTAATAATAATGTACATAGATTAGGTGGGGAGGATATTAAACAGAAGGATTTATGAACATTTGAATATTAAGTTGGTTATCTGTGGCTACCTTAAATGCAAGGTTGTCAAAAATAATTACAGTATACTAGCAAATACTGGCTACCAGAGACAATATAAATACCCTGCGTCAGTGCATCTTGGGCTTTTGGCATGAATCATTTGCTCAACAAGGATTGGGAATACGTTCTTCATATTTATGAGGAGGAAATGAAAGAAAGCAGGGTGGGGGAGGGGAGAGGAGCACGCAAAATTAATGGTGTCGCAGACCTGCTGTGTGAGACCCCGTGCAAGGAGGGACCCCGCCCGGGCTGTGGGAGCCGCCACGGTGCAGCCTCCTGCTTTGTACGCACAGGGGCTTTCCTGATGCTTTCTTCTAACCGCATCACTGCTGTTCTGGTTTTGTGCTCAGGGACATTTGTAGACAGTGTGGAGGGTGAGGTCGCTAAGTGGTTCGCAGTTGACTTCTGGAAAACCCAACTTGTCAAGGTAGAGATATCTGAAAAGGATGTTGATGAATGCCCATCCATTCACGGGGCAGGAAAACATGCCCAATGGTTAATTTCTCAATGCAGAAAGCAGTGATGACATGGAAAGCGACTGACTGCCATGAAAAATAAAAAGAAAAGAAAAAAGAAGAGAGAAAGAGAAACCCTCTGATAGATTGTGATTCCACAAGGGGCTGATGTCCACAAGTTAGGTTAGCACTTCAGACCCTTCACGCATGGGCTGATTTACCCCATGTCAACAGTAGTTCTGGATTCCACCGGCTGCGTGCACACACAGCCTCTTCCTGCCACCCAGCTGCCTGGAATGTAGCAATACTCAATTGTTGGCGGAAACAACAGCTCTGAGACAAAGGTGGTTTCCTGGTGGCAGTGCTGTGACGGCACTCATCAAGGGTTACACACCCCACTTTGGCCTGCATAGTTCAATTCCAAGAATTTATTTCATCTGTGTACTTTATGTTCATAATATACTTATTAAATCTGCTTTCAGTACTTTTATTGATACTATTTAGATTTGCCATCCAAGCAAATGCTATTTTATTTCTGACTCTGAATAACTTACCCACTTGAAATATTTACTGAAAGACATTAATTGATTTAACAAGTAGTCGCTGAAACATCCCATAGGTGAGACTTGTTCTAGGTTAGACCCAGAGGTAGCTTCAGTTCTCATGATTCTCCGGTGTGGAGAGGCAGGTACGCATCACCTCTCCATGTCAGTGGGGCTTCCCAAGCTTACTCTTCAGAAAGTCATTGGAAGATGCATAGCATTTTTTTAAGAAAAGTATACATGGATTTCAAATTTTCCTACAACAAAATAACTGCCTTTTAATTTCACTTTCCATGAACTTGGTAAAGTACACCCTCAGATACGATTATGAATTCATGTGAAGAAGAAAAGAGTGCCAGGAGAGCCCAGCATGCTTATGTGGTAGTGGTTCCCTGCTTGACTTCCAAGGATGCTGGCACCTCAGAGAAGTGGAGGTTGGGGTCCTTGCCACGCTGCCCCTTCTGGCAGTAGTTGCTGTTGAGGGCAGAGTGATGGCTGAGCAGCGAGATGCTCCCCACAGGGATGCAGAACAGGTGCATGGAGAGCAAGCCTCTGCTGCAGTCCCAGCGTGGGGCTGTTCTGGAAAATGGACATGCAGGGTGCACTGCACGTGTCCTACGAGGAGAGATTTGGGGTTGAAACCCATCAATCTTCACTTAACTGGCTAGACTGCAAAGTGCTCTGAAGATGCTCATGATCTCTCCCAGGCAGCCCCACGTCTCCAACTTACAGGGCAGAGGTCCTTAGAGCGCATTTCCAACTCAAGAGCCAGCGTGTCTGCAAAGCATTCCCTCACAATCTGAGGATGGTACAATACTGTCTTCCAAAGATATTTTTACACCAGTTATGGAAACTGCGCACTGTGGGCCCTATATTACCACCACTAACTTTAAGAATTTTAAGCTTTAAGAGGCCCCTGTGTGTGTCATTTTGGAAGATGTGTACTATTGAGGCAGTGAGGCTTCTACTGTGTGTTACTTTATGATTCTTGGGATTTTGCAAAGTGTATCTAGCAGCCAGAATATGTGTCAGAAAGCAGACCTGTGATCACTCAGGAGTGGGATTGGCTCCCACAAGGTTTAGCTGTGGCTGTTCCCCTCAAGGAGTCTGCCCTTTCTGAAACCTGATGGCCCTGAGAGCTGAGTGGCAGCTGGGTCCAAGGACAAGTGTGCACTGCTGCACTCTCATGCCTAAAGCGTCTTCTGGGTCGAACATCCTGTGAGCCAAGACCGTGTCTAAGTGAGTGGTTTTGAGGTCCTGCAGATGCAACTCCTTCCTGGGGGCTACTTGAGTCCCTGTGTAACTGCTGGGAAACATAAAGTGTCACCTTCACTAATTAACCTGCCGTCATGGTGTTGCACAAGCCACTGTGTTAAATATGCCTCTTGAAGCCAAGACACAAGCATACCACATGCATGTTCAGATTAATAGTCTGTATCCCTTCTCTTCTTCCAAGAGCCATTTGGGGAACGTGTTAGTGGATATGAAGCTGATTGACATCAAGGACACACTGCCTGTGGGCTTCATCCCAATTCAGGAGACAGTGGACACACGTGAGTCCCTCTTTATACTGCTCATCATGCGGGGGTCCTCCTTCTCTAGGTATATTTCTAGATGGTTTCTGTGTTGCATGTTTCTTGGGAACATGTTAGGAGACTTCTCTGTGTACCTGTGGGTAAGGCCTGCTGCTCTGACATGCCTCTGACTGGTTTTCGGGAGTGAGTGATGTTTGGGGACCAGCATGACCTGCTGATTGGGCTCTCACAGGATCGGATCGCTGGGACCTGGGAGAGTTCATCCCTGGTCATCCTCCTGGTACTGCTGAAGCCAAACTTGGCACAAGATGCAGAAACAAGAGGGGGAAAAAACCCGCCCAGTGCCTGGTGAATGCGAGTGCAGTAATGGCTCTCAGAGCAAAGAAGGGAAGAGAAAAGCAGCAGACTTTGAGGGAAGGTGCTCAGGGTTTGAATCAGGCCGAGCAGTGAATCAGGTGCTGTGAGGACCCTGAGCTGGGGGAGCCCTGCTCCCATGATTCCTGTGTTGGTGGTCAGCGCTGGCCCTAGTGAGCCACGCTGTAAGGTCACAGAGGCCTTTGCTGTAATTCCACTCAAATTGTTTATTTCTAATTACTGGTTAGGAGACAATGAAACAGTGAGGAGAGGCAAACAGAGAGAGACCTTGTCGTGGCACAACCCATCTGTGAAATGCAGCCTCGCGTTCTTGGTCGGACATGCTCTTTTGCAGTGGTAGCCCTGCTCTGGACCCACTGTGTTTTTTTTGCTTGTTGACATTTCATACTAGCCAGACTTCTCGTCTGCACAGACCCTGCATAGCTGTTACCTTAATGACATGAGTAGATCTGCTGTGTAGCAGATTTCCCCCCTCACTGGTCTCCTCACTTTGGGGTATTGGGCTGCTGTTAGTTGCTGATTCTTGGGAGTGTGAGCTCAGAGCCATAGTAATTGATGTTTACTGTCTGCTTACTTCATGCAAGTCCTGGTAAGCAGTGCTTTATCTGCCTCATTTACTTAATTTTTTTTTGAAGACCTCCCCTTTAGATACAGGTGTTGCTGTACCCATTTCACATAGGAGAAAAGTGAGGCACCCTAACTTCTTAGAGATTTAAGTGCTTAAGGGTGGAGGGGTAGCAAGAACACACACACCTGAACCACATTGCCACACTCGAAGGTTTTATATAGTGTGATTAGAGTGTTTCTCTTGTAATAGCTTTATTGGGATATGAAGCGCATGCCATGCAATAAACCCTTTTAAAGTATGTAATTCAAATTTGTGTAACCATTATCATCTTCAGTTTTAAGGCATTTTCTCACCTCCAAAAATAAATTATTCATTTCTCCCTGCCCTTACGTCCCTGCAGCCCTAGGCAACCGCTGGCTCACTTTCTCTCCAGATTGCCCTGTTCTGGGTATTTCGTGCAAGTGGAATCCGATAGCATCTAGGAGTGTTTTATCCCATTTTATTGCCGGATAATATTTTTGTATTCTCTGGGCACATCACATGTGAACACTGATGTAACGTTCTTGTCTGGACACGCGTCTGCATCTCTCTTGGTATCTGCCTAGGCCTCGAGCTGCTGGTAACATAACTCTGTGTGTCACTCTTTAAGGAGTGGCAGCCTGCCTTGCAAAGGAGCTTGTATCATTCTACATTTCTACCAGCCTTACACTAGGCCTCCAGCTCTCCACGTATTTGCCAGCACTTGTTGTTGTCCACTGTTCTTAAACAATTTACTATTAATGTATTTGAAAGGCACAGAAAAGGAGATGGAGATTTTTCGTCTGCTGATTCATTTCCCAAACACCCGCATTAGCCAGGGCTGGGCCCAGTGGAAGCCTGGAGCTCCTTCCTTTGGGGCTGGGAACCTAAGGACTTGAGCCATCACCACCTGGCCCGCAGCGTGCATTTTAAGAGAAGCTATGTTAGAAGCCAAGACAAACTTGAACCCAGGCACTGCTCTCTGTAAGTTGTAGGCACCACAGCGGTGGCTTAGCTGCTGCACCGCAATGCCCACCCCCTGTCTAACAGATCCTGGCCCTCTCAGTGGATACAAGTTGGTATCTCATTGTGGCATTCTCTTGTGAGATACATGTTTTGTGCAAATGCTCTCCCATTCTGTCAGCTTTCCCTTTTCTTAGTGGTATCTTTTGCTGCTTATTTACTTATTATATTGTTTGAAAGGGAGATAGAAAGAGAAAGAGAATGAGCAAACATTCATCTGCTGATTTACTCCCCAGTCCCCATAACCACCAGGGCCAGGCTGAAGCCAGGCTGGCAGGAGCGCCATTGGTGGAGCCCTCCAGGGCTGTGCAGAGCCGGCACACTAACCGAGACACTTGATATAGAGTGGCAGCATCTCGGCTGCAGGGCCAGATGTCCACCCCGAGGGCTCCTTTGAAACATGGAAATCTTCATTTCTTAGGTGTGGTTTGGGTGTCATAGCTAAGAAAACACTGCCTAGTTCAAGGTTGCCGTTATATATGCCACTGCTTCTTCTAATGGTTTTATGATTTGAACTCTTACACTTCTGTCTTGGACCCATTTTTAGTTCATTTTTTTCTGTTTGTTGTGAAATGTCACCCAACTTTACTCTTTGCCATGTGCATAGCCATCCAGTTATCCAAGCCCCGTTTGTTGAGATGACTGTTGGTGTCCTCACTGAGTTGACTCAGCAGTTTTGTTCAAATTCAGCTGACCCTGAGAGTGAGGGCTTAGTTCTGGACCCTGGATTCTCTCCGTGGATCTGGATGTCTTGCCGTACAAGCACAGCAGTCTCTACCACTGTAGCTTTGTTGCAAATTTTTGCAATCAAGAAAGTGTGATCCCTGCAACTTTTATCTTTTTCAAGATTGTTTTGGCAATCCTAGGTTTATGAATTTTAGAATTAGCTTGTCAGTTTCTGCAGAGAAGCCAGCTGTGGTTTTGATAGGTTTGGTATTTGTAAATGCTGAGTGAATTCCTCACGACACGTTCCTCCTCTGACAGCAGGCCCGGTTCCTCTGCAGACAGATGCAATCTCCCTGCTCTCCTCCCAAGCCCAGCCCTCCCCAGGCCTGCCGCTTGCTCCTCTCTTTCTGATTGTCCCTCCCAACTCCTCGGAGTGTCTCTACCCTGTGTCTTCCACAGGCAAGTGTCTGTGTCTCCCCCTGCAGCCTCTGGTCCTGCACTCCTGTTTGAAGTGAGCTCACCCTTAGCCTCCACAGGCAGCTGAGATGATGAGCGCCTAGTGCAGGGCAGGCCTGCCAGCTCTGACGAAGGATAAAGAAGACACTGGCCCTTCCCTTAGGCAGTGTGGTCTAGCTGGGGTATGCCTGCAGTAGGGAAGTGCAGTGCCAGGACCGGATTAGACAGCAGTCAGGGCCCCGTCTGCCTGTTACTGCCCAACCGTTCCCCTGGCACAGCACGTGCTGGGCAAGGGTGTAGGCACCTGTAAGTGGCTGTGACGAACAGCCACCTCTCACCCCCAAGTCACAGTGGCAGGAGGCTGAGTAGTGTCAGTTCAGCCTCTGAATTTTTAGGACAAACTGGTGAGCGGTCCTTGGATTGTGCAGTCAAACTTGCCAAGTATTCAGTCTGGCTCTGCCGCTTATACCCAGTGGGCACAGAACTCGGTTTGCTCCTCTGTCGAACGGGAGAAATGTTACTCAGTTCACTTTAGAATGTGCATGTTAGCGTTAGCTTGCACTATAGTCCTGTCTGTGCTGCTTAGCTTTCGTTTTGTTTTTGTTTTCTTAAGGACAAGGTCCAGGTTTAATTTCCTCTGTAAGCCACCCAGGTTCCTGCCTCCTGCAGTGGCCTGCTCATGGATAGTTTCTGTGGAGGCACACTGTATCACTGTGTTCCCAGGTCAACTTCTGTAGTGATGGCATTGTACCTGTTCCCCACAGGCCTGCCAGCACAGGTTTGGTTTTATCATCTAATTTTTCCTTCATTATTAATTAGTAAGACTGAACAGTCAAGTGCTTGTTGCTACACATATACATTGTCTACGTATGAGCTGAAATTACCTTGTAGATTGTATTAATTTTGCACTTTTCCCTTGGGTTTTTCATAATTTGAAAAACTCATACTGATGTTGATTTCTGAGATCATGTGGATGTACATTGGAACCAAGAAATTCCCGTCCTCATTTCCCTCCCTGTGCACCCAGGCTAGGTCCTGTCTGGGCCCCGGTCTGGCTAGGGTAGGCCCCGGGGCCCTGGTCCGGAAGCCCCTCCCCTGTGCCTGGACACTGCCTTTATAGACTGTGCGGGGTTGCATCCTGAGCTGTCCCATCAGAAGCCTTACCATGCAGCGTGAGATGGGTGAGGGGGGCCTCCTGGTTTCTAATTGTTTCCTGGGCACTTTGTCCAGAGTACAGGAGAGCCTCTTGGCCAGCTCAGTGTTCCTTGAGAGCATTTAAGGCCCTAGTTTTGTAAAGTCAACCAGAAAGATGAGACTCCTGTAATTAATTTAAAATACAGTTTGTCGCAATCCATATAGCACTTAAAAACTGGAAGACTGTTTGTTTTAGCAAAGTGCTGTGTACTTTCTCTGTGTTCATTAGCATGACTGAACACATTGCTATTGACTATGTATAATATGTTTACTTAAAATTAGGCCTGCTTAAGCATGTGTAATGAGCAGCTTCATCTCCTACCCTGAGTTTGCTGCAATAGAGGAACAGGGCTGAGAGCAGCGCGGCTCCGGCAAGCGAGCACCTGTGATGTGGCTGCTCAGTGGAAGCGGGCCTGTGCCCCAGGTACCACCCTGCCACATCGGGTGCCATGTTTGGAATCTGAAGTCAGGGCATTGTTGTTCACTCTGGCCCTCAGTTCTGAGAAAACACCACCCAAACAATAGTGCTCAAAAGGGACCACTGACTCACTCTAGCCCGTCTGGAAGTGCCCTCCTCACTGCCCCCTTGGGTGACGGTGCTGTAGGATGTACTTTCTTCTTGGGATGAGGAAAACGGAAAGGTCTGGAAGGTCAGTCCTGAGCAGGGACATACATGATGCACTGCGAGCCGACCGGCGGCGGAGGTGCCAAGAGAGCACTTCCTGTGTGCCAGGCGCAGGACTGAGTGACTCATGTGGGTTGTCATGTTGTACCAGCGTCCATTTGGGGTGGGAGCTCAGTAACCACCTCGTGCAGGCAGTGCAACCCCAAAGCCGAGAGACTGAGGAACTCCTGAGGCACTGGGGCGCGAAGCCATGCCTTTAGCTCTGTCCATTTACAAAAAACACAAGGAGGGCCCCTGTGTCTCCACCTATGAGTGTTCCGGAGAGAGGAAGCAGCGAGAGGCTGTTTCAGTAGAGCTACTGAAGAGGCCCAGCAGCCACCCGCCTGCACTGGGGCTGGACTGGAGCATGCACGAGCCAGCGGATGGCAGTGAGGCATTCTGTGCGTTTTTTGTCTGCCATAGGTGTCTGCTGAGATGGGGATGAGTGACATGATGCATTGAGGGTTCATTTTCAGTCTGCAGCAAAGCAAGAGAGGACAGCAGGGGGCAAGGAAGCCAGCTCCAGACAGCCTAGTGGCGGAAACTTGTGGCTTCGTTCCAGTCTTCTGTCTAGGCTGGGACACAGCTGAGGGTATCTGTGACAGAGTAAATAAGGACAGAGGCCCCCCACAGTGAGCACGCCGCCCCTGCAGAGAGCGTGTCGCCCCTGTCCCCCACAGTGAGTGTGCTGCCCCCATGTCTGCGGCTTGAGAGTGAGCAGTGGAAGGGTGGGGAGGCATGGCCCTCCGAAGCTGCCCGTGGGTTCATTCCTGGAGGCGCCTTCTCTGCTGGGGCCACCACCAGACTCTGATCCTGATGCCCAAGCTGCAGTTACCTTTCCACTCTGGCTGTGGAGAAGGCAGGGTGGAGGGACAGGGGTGAACCTCCGCTGATACTGCCAGGAAGGGGATGTGGCAGGAGACATGTTTTCCAGAGTGGATACGGTGACGCGTGAAAGACTCACCCCGCCTCTGTCGTCCTTCCCTGCAGAGGAAGTGGCTTTCCGAAAGAAGAGGCTGTGTATCAAGTTTATCCCCCGGGATTCAACGGAAGCTGCCATCTGTGACATTCGCATCATGGGCCGGACCAAGCAGGCCCCTCCTCAGTACACGTTCATCGGGTGAGTCTTAACAGCACAAACCCACCACCGCTGTGCGTGGACAGAGCTCAGGTCACACGCGAGGACGAGGTCCTGAGTCTCCTGGACTACCCGTGTCTTACCCCGGCCTCCAGGCCTGCGCTGTCACAGCTGCTGACCTCCACGCCCCTCAGTTCACCCTGAGCGCACCCTCAGGCCTTCACTCCCCCTGTCCTTTCATGTGTTCAGCTTTAGGCTTCTCTGGGTCCTTCCCCCACGCCTTGGGCTCTTGCCGGGCCTCAGTTCTGCACAGTGTTGTTTCACTCTGTGGAATGTTTATAGAGCACCATCCTGTCCCACCAAGCTCCATGCTGAATGTGGGAGAAAGGAGGCAGAGGCACTGCTGTTGCCCCTGGTGTTATAAAAGGCAGACACACCATGCACGACAGTAACATGTGGCACAAGGTGGAGACTGCTTGAGGAGGGGGCGGGAGGGGCCCATTGGCCAGAGACCACAGAGTCAAGGAGAAACCTGTGCTGAGTGGGGAAGGCAGAGCCTTCCAGGCAGGCTGGGGAGCAGGTGTGAGAGAGGGGAAGAGTGTGACACCTGCCACAAGCAGAGAGCCCAGATGGATGGAGCAGACAAGCTAGGGAGGAAGGTGGTGAGGGTGAGGGAAGCTGTCGGCGTGCCTTGGGGAGGAGATGGTTGGCTGAATTTTATTCCGCACTGGGAACCCGTTGGAGAGTCCCTGGTGTAAACTCTGTAAATCACCTAAATACGCAGAATTAATCGTGCAGGATTTAGTCTGATGCTTGCCTGCCCAGTTAAGCAGAGCTGCCGTGACTTGGGCCGTTTGTATCTTATTTGCTCACTAAGTGGCCTCAGCCCCAAGCACTGGCCTGGCTCTATAGCCACTTCATAAACACTAAGCCCAATGGAATTTCAGGTTTCATGTTGACTTCTTTGGATTGTGAGACAGGAAACCCAACCCAGAACAGCTTAAGCAGAAGAAGGAATGTGTTGGCTGACCCAGCACAGGCACCCCAGGCAGGACAGCTTCAGGCGTGGCTGGAGACAGGAGCTCTGAGTACCTCTGGGACCTGCTCTCCTGTCGTCTTTCTCCTTGTGCTGATCCTCTGGGGGGACTGCAGCCCAACATATGAATTCCCTGAGCAGAAGCAGGTTCAAGTCCAGGGGCAAGAAGCAAGCCTCCGTTTCTGATAGTTTACACAAAAGTTGTGGGATTCAGTGTCATTGGTCTTGGTGAATCTAACCAGCTTTATGTGCACTCTGGCCACTTTTTCCTGGAAGATGTCATTCTCTGAGACCTGACCTATGTAGGCTCCGTAGGCTCCATTCGAGTGGCTTCCAGGACTAGCATGGCAGGGCTTGGGAGGCCAGCAGAGGGGTGGGTGGGCAAGCGGAGGCTGGTGTCCAGGCCCTCGGTATGTGACATTCGACTAAGGGGGAGAGTGTGGGAGATGGGCTTTGGCCCCTGGCCAGCACACTGTTCCCTCACTGACCTTGCATACTTCCTCTTCTTCATTGGGCTACCAGCAGCACGGCTGCCTACTGGCCTGTGAGCTTGGCCTCCTGGGCCTACTTTGTCTTCTGTTCATTTTGTCCAGGGCCTTTTTCCCTCTTATAGACACATCTGGGGAGCAGGTATCCCAGAGGTGGAGTTTCATCCAGACACACCACATGTTTTTGGACTGTTGAGTCTCAGGGTCGGAACATTCCTGTGGCTCCTAAGAGGGGGTGATCAAAGTCTTGCTGCCTGCTCGAAGTTCCTGTCTTATACCCTGGCGTAAAGCAACTATATACACAGAATGACAGGGGCCAAAATGGCTAGAAGCCATTTGCCTACAAATAATAAACCACAACATCTTAGTGATAAGCTTTCTGTTAACCATGTATAGTTTTAATTATGAGCCATGGGGATGGTGTCATGGCATAGTAGTCAAGCTTCCGCCTGTGGCACCAGCAGCTGATATGGACACTGGTTCAAGTGTCCTGGCTTCACATTAGCTCAGCTCTGGTCATTGTGGCCACTTGGTGAATGAACCAGCGGATGGAAGAGCTTTCTCTCTGTCTCTCCTTCTCTCTGTAAATCTGCCTTTCAAATAAAAACAAATTTAAAAAAAATTCACAAACCATAATATTTGAAAAGATTTGATTTTAACCAATTTAAACAATCCTAGAGAATAGGATATTTTTTTTTTTTGCTAACAAATAGCTTGATAATCAAAGCTAAACTATTATTCTTTTTATATAACTTTTGAGAAAATTGCTAAGGTGTAGTGTTGTTTTACCTTGGGATGAAAATTAGTGTTACTTTAAAATAAGGAGAGAGTATTCAGGATTCAAAACCCCAAGCCACTTGATCTTAAAAGGGGGCACCATTGCATGTGTTTTTCTGCAAGGGCTGGCTTTGCTGCAGGGCAGCAGGGCCTTATGCCCCAGGCTGGAGCTGTGCTCTCACATGGTGCACTGGAGTCGCTCACCTGATGCCACCGGGGTGTGGCTTGGGCCGGGTGCTTCTGCACACCTAGAAAGTCGTGCTTCGGGAGGAGCTGAGAGTGGCTCCCTGGGCCTGAGGCTGTCACTCGTAAGCTGGTGTGCCTGTCGCTTAGGTCAGTGCGCTGTGCTAGCCAGCACTGTTCTGATTTCTCTTTTCTCCTAAAGGGAACTGAACAGCATGGGGATTTGGTATCGGATGGGCAGAGTACCAAGAAACCACGATGCGTCTCAAACCACCACGCCTTCCCCGTCATCTGCTGCTTCCACCCCAGCCCCCAACTTGCCCAGGTAAGGCCTCATCAGTGGCGTCTTGGGCTGACACATGATCTTGGACAGGCCCTTGGTATCTGCTGATAAGACAATGCAGAATCTGTTTGAAAATGTAGGGGCAGTGTGCCTTCAGAGGAGACCTTTGCAAATCCAGTTAGGAATCTGCAGCCCATGAATGCAGAGGCCAGCCCATGTTCTCATGTGTCCACACTCTACAGGCCCCTAAAGTCACAGAGTATGCAAATGAGAACTGGTTTACTGTGCGCAGGCGCTTAGAGACCTACACAGCCATGTGATGGTGGGGTCCCTGGCCCCAAGAGGGTGGCCCACCTCATGTGTCGCCGTCAGCTGCTCGTCATCACCCTCGGGTTCCAGTGAGCTCCAGACTGAGAACCAGGCGGAGAGAGGGCAATGGGGCTTTCAGAAGTCAGCCAGTGCTTCTGAGGGAGCGTGCTGCTCTGCCCCGATTTCAGCCCAGCAGGCGTGACTGTCACTCTCACTTCTTGTGCACAACACATGGTCAGACGAGAGTGTCCAGTCAGAAGTTTCTACAGAGCGGGAGGCCAGAGTGGAGGGCAAAGAGCTGGCAGCAGGGATGGGTTGTCTGAGAAAGGATTGCAGAAGTGCGCAAGGCAAGACAGCATCATCGAGATATTGATGTGACAGAAATAAGAATGGACCTGCAAGCATCTGAGGGTGACAGGGGTTGGTGAAGTCCATCAGGAACACGCAAGAGACTCACCCAGGGGGCCATGCTGAACCCCAGGAGGTGCTGCTAGCACCCCGCATTCTGTTCCTTCCCACAAGTGTGCCGTGGTCGGTGCCCTGCTGCTCCAGGGACTGGGTCCGGAGGGGGCATCCTTTGAGGACACTCTGGTTCTCCTCGGGCCAGCTTCACACACGAGGACTGGTGCTGAGCATCCCCAGAGTTACCAGCGCTTCTGCAAGTGTTGGCCTCACTTTGGAATGGAGAGGCTGGAAGGCTAGCTGGGTTCCCGGGGTGCACGTGGGCAGCGGGGTCTCATGTGGTTCAGGAGCCGGAGCCCAGTGCGGCACATGAAGCCGCTGTGCCTGCTCTCCCTGCTGTTCCTGGCAGGTGTGCAATGGGGGTCAGCTGAGGCCCAGCTGCTGTGTTCAGGGTAGCTGCAGGTCTCATGTCTCCTGTGCAAGGGATCAGCATGAGGCGTGGGCCGTGTCAAGAGCCCATGGGGCATGAGTCGCTGAGAGGTGGTTGAAACTCCTCCTGTGGTCTGAATGCCCCCCTACCCTGCCCTGCCCTGGTGACTTTAACTTTCTGCTGAGTGAGGGTGGTGCTGATTTTCCCACATACAGCACAGAGATGCTGTGCCAGAAGCTGTCAAGCTGCTGTGTGAGCAGGGTCAGTGTGAGTGAAGCAGGAGACCCAGGAAGGCAGGCTGTAGGAACCTGGCCGAACCGCAGTGTGGTGTGTCCAAGTCTGGTGGCAATGAGGCCTCTGTGTCTTCTAGCCTCTGTTGTACACTCTGTGGCTTACAGTAGCTACAAAGAAATCGGACCAGTTTTGCTTTACTTTTCAAATAAAACAAATGTCAAGATAGTTAATGTAAAATGTATTCTGATTTGGCTGAGTTAAGTCAGCCAGGATGCAGCAGGATAATCCCAGTGTATGTTAGTGTGTCCCAGTAGGACCCACCTGCCTGTCCCAGGGCTCCTCTCTTGGTGGGGACTGTTTAGTAGGCAGCATGAGCCCCGTGTGAGCTTCATGTTGTGGAGGGTTTTGGGGGTCTTGGAAGGGGCATTCATTTCCTATCCAGTACCTTTGGTTTTCAAGAAGTGAGCTGCTGATTATTTGTTCAACTTTCTGTCGCACCTTTGATGAAAAACAGTAAGTGCAGTGTTTTATTCCGTGAGACATCTGCTCTGTGACAGGCTTGTCTCTGGCTGTCTCCCGTGGGCCTCTCGGGTGGAGACCCAGCTCCTCGGGCACTGCCAGCCTCGTGGCCAGGGCCCAGGGTTCCTGTCTTCTGTGTCTTGATCCCAGCCTCAACTTTTACCCTGAACTGGTAGCTGCCTCTTCCTGTGTCACGCATCTGTGCCTTGCTCAAGGTGATGCTTGGCCCATACGTAGCTCCCGGCTCTTGCCCAAGACCTCAGCTCAGATGACTCCTCTGCCAGAGAGCCTCCTGGGAACCCCTCGGCCTGTGTTGGGCTCTAGTCACCACGTAAGGGCAGGGGCTCCTGGAAGCCACCCTCTCCAGAGGAATCCCATGTCTCTGAGCACTTTGGGGTCTTCTGCTTAAGAAGATTAATGCAAACTTGTAGGAGACGGGCAATGTATAGAAAACAATGAAACACAAATGTCGTTTCCAGAGAGCAAATGCTGATGACCTTTTGTCCTGTTTCCCGCAAATTGTACTTTTTACATGTGTGACATAACATTGTGTAATAGCAAGTTTATGCTTGGGTACTGTGTTCTCATGTGGCACTAAACCACAGACACCACCATGTCCTCAAGGCATTTTGTGCCAACACTGGGATCAAGTTGCTCAGGCGGATACAGGAGTGTGGTGACACAGCGCCCTCTACTGACCGGCAGTGGAGGTGGCGCGGAGATGTGCAGGGGTCTCAAGCAGAGGCCTCCAGGCCCCGTTTTGGTAGATCTTTGGTTGTGGAAGTGAAGAGGAGCATCCTGTCGCATACCTGGCCTCCCCTCCAGCCTGGGTGTCTGTCTCAAAACCTGAAGATCTGAGCTCTGGCTCCATTTTTTACACTCTCATCCCTCGGACTTCAAAGAAGTGCCTCCTCTCAGTAGAGCTCTCCCTGGCCTTACTAGAGACAAAAGGGGCTCTGGGGCCCTCCCCATTTCAATGGCCCACATGGTTCTAGAAGAATCACTGCTTCTTCCCCAGGACCAAGTTTCCTTCCACTTCCTCCCTGGCTCACAAAAAGACCAGAAACAGGGCCATGCCCCTGCAGAGAAAGGGGTGCTCCTTGGCTGTGACCAGTGAACTGGATGTGCCATCGAATGGCACTCAGGAACCTAGGAAGCTTGACAGAGGCCCTGCTTCTCACATGCAAGCATCTTCCCGCACGCGTCCCGTCTCCTGACAGTCCCAGGTGAGGAAGGGCAGTCTGCTTGTATCGGGCCATCCTTTGTTGCCATGACAAAGTACCTGGGGCAGACTCTGCCCATCTCAACCCACAGTTCTAGAGGACAGGGTCAACAGGCTGTACCTCATGCCAGCTTCCTGCTGGCGGAACCCGTGGGGACACAGGGCATCCTAATGTGGCTAGAGCCAGGGAGCATGTGGGTATCTCTGTGTCCCCTCAGTCAGGAGACTCCCCCTCTGATGACCTCATCCAGTACGTTGTCTTCCCAAGGGCCCACCCCTCAGCACGCATCTCCTAGTTCCCCCAAGGGAGGAGTAATCTCCCTCCCGAGTTCAGAGGGTGAGCTCACCCACAGTCGCACTCGTTGCAGGGCTTAGGCCTTGTCTTCCCCTGGGTGTGGCCCCTGCACACTCTCCTCGTGTGCACTGCCCAGCACGAGGGAGCCGGGCTTGGGCTGAGCTGCACTCCCGGGGCGGGCCATCAGCCTGTGGCTCATCTGAGAGAGGCCTTGGTGTGCTGCCTTGGGCACATGCTGAGGGAAGATTGCCCTCCCAGCTTCAGGCGGGGCAGCCCTGCACACATGGGGTCTCACATGTCGATTCTGCTGGGAAGGAAAGGTTCAGCCCCAGGTGGCAGGCACACGGGCAGGCCTGCACGTGCTCAGCTGCCCGGAGCTCCCGTGTGCGGGTGACTGAGTGGCTGTGCACCCCCGTGGGAGGAAGCCCTTGGCAGGCTGCCGCCCCACTTAAGGAACAGCAGACTTGGTGGGCCAATAAAGACATCAGAGGCCTGCTTATCAAATTTGCAGATGACACCGAGTCATTAGGGAGAGCAGACGCGCTGAGTGACAGAATCGATATGCGACATCCCTTCACAGCCGGAGCACCCTGCAGGAAGCCTGGAATGGAAGGTGATGGGCGAATGGAGAGGCCCCTAAGGGTCAGATCGGCAGCACGGAAGCCATATGGCAAGGCCTGGCTCAGCAGGTGCATGGAAAGGGTGGCATGGCCAGGAGCTCAGGTATGGGGAACGCAGCCTTGTAGCACCTCCCAAGAGGCGTGCCCACACCTGACAGGGGCTTGGAAAGTGTGGAGAGCGGTGCACCGGGAGCTGACCCCACGTGTATGGTAGGCAGTTACAAGATGGTGGCTGGCTGAGGGCCAGGAGGCGGGGTTGGTCCCACCAGTAGGCAAACAGGAAGTCACGGGGATAGGCTGATGCCCTCGCTGCGATTATATCATTGCTACTGGCCTATCAGGTAGCGCCAAGTGGACTGATGGGGAGAAGTGATTGGTGGAGAACTGTATATAAGCAGCCCACTTTCAGCAATAAAGGTTCGTTCGTTGGTTCATTGGTTTGTTCGTGTGTTTGTGTTTTCATTCGTTGTGTGTTCCAGTTGTGGTGGCTGTTCCTGTTTTTCCAGGCCCCCGAGAGTGTTCCTCATCATTTTAGTGTTGCTGCTGGACAGCGGCAGGGAAGGACACGTCCACTCAAACACACCAGCTGGACAAGTACCTGAATTGGGTGTAGCCACTGAGCATGAAAAATTGTGGAGTGCTCATCTGAATAGGGACAGGCAGCTGGCTTGCAGTGTCAGTGTGATCAGCATAAAGGGGAGAAGGCAGAAGGGTTTCTGGGTGCACATGGAGGGGAGCACTGCATCTAGGGTGTCTGGTACTCCACAGAGTTCAAAAGTCAACCTTCCCTAAGGTGGGAATGCCTTGTCCCTGGGAAGCAACTGCCAGCAGGGTCACATGATGCTGGGAGCTTCAAACCTTCATGGAACTGGAGCAAGCCTGTGTCATGGCTGTCTCGTTCTGTTCCTGCCCTCAGAGCACGTGCAGCCACCTTGCAGAGGCCCTTGGAAGTGGCAGGGAGGGTGTGGAATGGGCCCTGGTCACTGAAGTGCCACCTTGGCATCTGCTATC